ACAGGAAACTGTGTCCGATGGCTTCCCCACTCTGGCATTCCTATTCTGTGCCCACCTTACACTCCCCTTTTTGGGGGGAGGTCCTTAAGGCAAGAGTGTCAAGGGTCCCCAGGTATCTAGTGGGGATCCCCAGCCTGATCAGAATTGGGAGGACTATTTTGCTTCAGGTTTGCTGAGAAATATCTTAGGAATAGGGGCCAGCTGACCTGGGCCCACTGGAACCCCCTGTTGCGCCCCGTCCATTTTGGTGGGACATCCAGCAGGTAGGACATAACTAGTGGGCCAAAGGGAATGATGGGATCAGGGGATATCCTGTTTGGGGGATATTCAAGTTTGATGGGAGTCAGAGCCTACAGGCTTCCCAACTCTCTGACAGGCAACTGCACCAATGGTTTCTTCCCACCCTGTGAACCCTACTGTGTGCCCCACCCCATCCCTTTTTGGTGGGATATCCCTAAAGATGGCTGGCCAGAGGTCCCATAGATACACTGGGAATTGGATCCTGACCTGGGTTGGGGTACTATTCTACCTTAGGTTAGCTAAGAGCTGTCCCAGTAACAGGAACCAAGTGGCTTCAGGCCTCTGGAAACCCCTGCTCTGTCCCACCCATTTTGGAAGGAAATCCAGCATGTTGGACATGACTATGGATTAGTTCAAGGGGAGTGATGGGAGCAGAATAGCCCACTTCATGTTTGATGGGAGTTGAGTCTCCCCTTGGCCTCTCAATCCTTCAGTGAAAGGAACAAGGTCATGGTGGTCTCAGGCCTTTGAGACCCCCTACTGTGCCTGCCCTTTTTTAGTTGAGCAGCTAGGTGACAATGACCTAGTGGGCCAAAAGGAATGATGGGGTCAGGGCCATATCCCCCTTCAGATTTGATGGGAGTGGGGTCTCATGACTTCTAGTGAGAGGAAACTCCAACAAATGGTCTCTCCCTCTGGGACCCCCTGCTGTGTCCCACCCATTTTGGTGGGAAATCTGGCTTTTAGGACACAACTCCCTATTGGACCAAGGGAAATGATGGGGAAAAGGGGACATCTCAAAATTTGATGGGAGTTGGAGCCTACAAGGCTTCCCAACTCTCTGACATCCAGTAATAGGAAATTCTACCAAGTGGCCTCTCCTCTCTGGGACCCCCTGCTATGGGTCTACCCCCACCCCCTCCCTTTGTTGGCAGGAGTTCATACAGTCAAACAGGCCAGTGGTGACAAGGACCTCGTGGGTGTGGGAGACTGAGGGAAAGATGGGGGACACAGACTTTTCAGGTGAAGTGAAAGGTATCCCAGGAACAGGAGCCAGGTGTCCTGGGGCCTCCGATAACCCCTGCTGTGCTCAGTGGCATTCTGGGAGGAAATTGAGGAGGTAGGACGCTGGTACTTGGTGTGCCAAGGAAAATAATGGAAGAAAGGGGGATGTCGTGCTTTAGATATGATAGAATTTGAGATTCTCCCCCTTCTGGCCTCTCTGACCTCTGGGATAGGAACAGGGATGAGATGGCTTCATGCTTCTGGGACCTCATGCTATATGCTCCTAGCCCAGGGGTGGGGAACCTATGGCCTCAAGGCCACATGTGACCCTCTAGGTCCTCAAGTGTGGCCCTTTGACTGAATCCAAACTCCACTTCATTTTTGATGGAAGTTGGGGACCAAACTGACCAATCTGACCTCAGACTAGAGGAAGAGGTACAAAGTAGCCTCATCTCTGCTGTAGCCCCTCCACTTTTGGTGGGAAATTGGGCATGCAGGTGCTAACTACCTAGTGGGCCAAGAGAAACAATGGGCTCAAGAGGATCTTATCCTGAACAGAAGTTGGGAGACATAGCCCCTTCATGTTAGGAAAAAAGTTCCCAGGAATTGGCCAGTTGTCCTGGGGCTTCTGGGACCGCCTCCTCTGGCCAGAGACGTTTTGGCAGTAAATCGGACAGGCCCACCATAAGTACCAAGGATAACAATGGGATGAAGGGGAATAGCCCCTTTCATTTATGATGGAATTTGGGACCCTCTGCCTTCTGGAGTCTCTGAATTCTGGTAAAGGAAGGGGGAAATTGCCTCAGGTCACTGGGACCCCCTGCTACATTCCACCTATTTTGGCTGACCTGGCCTTTAGGACACAACTACCTATTGCACCAAGGAAAATGATGGGGAAAGAGGGACATCCCTCTTAAGGTTTGATGGGAGTTGGGGCCTTCGGGCTTCTCAACTCTTTGACCACTAGGAACAGGAACCTTCACCAAGTGGCCTCCCCACTTTGGAACACCTTGCTATGTGTCCACAACACCCCCTCCCTTTGCTGGCAAGAGTTCATGCAGTCACACTGACCAGTGGCATAAAGGACCTAGTGGGTTTGGGAGAGTGAAGGGAAATTGGGGAACATAGCCTCTGTAGGTAAAGTGAGAGCTATCCCAGGAACAGGGGCCAGGTGTTCTGGGACCTCTGGGACACCCAGTTGTGTCCCACCAGTTTTGGAGGGAAATCTAGCAGATAGGACACAACTTATCAATTGGGCCAAGAGGAATCATGGGAGCAGGAGGCTCTTCCCCGTCCTATTTGACGTGAGCTGGAACCTGCAGGCTTCCCAACTTCCTGCCCTGTAGTGAAAGGAGACTCAGCCCAATGTCCTCCCCGCTCTGGTACTCTTGCTTTGTACCCACCCACCCCTTCCCCTTTTGGGTGTGGGTCCCCAAGTCAGGCTGACCCAGAGTCCCAGGGATCTCCTGGGAATCGGAGATTGACTGGTGTTGGGAGGGCTTCACGTTTGCTGAGAGGTGTCTCAGGAACAAGGGCCAGATGTCCTGGGGCTTCTGGGATCCCTTTTTTTGTCCTGCCAATTTTGGTGGGATATCCAGCAGGTCAGACAGAACTACTTATTGGGCCAAGGGAAATGATGGGTATAGGGGAATTTCCCCCTTCAGGTTTACTGGGAGTTAGGTCCGTCTGCCTCATGGCCTATCAGACCTCCAGAGACAGGAACCAGGGCAGAATGGTCAAAGTATTCTGGGCTCCTTGCTGTTTCCCCTCCACTTTTGGCCGGAAATCCAGCAGACAGGGCAGGCGGCAACTACTTAGTGGGCCAATGGGAATCATGGGAACTGGAGGATATCCCCCTTTAGGTTTGATGGGAGTTGGGGCTCGCTGATTTCCCAACTCTCTGTCCGCTAGTAATAGGAAACTGTGTCCAATGGCCTCCCACCTCTGGTTCCCCTTGCTATGTGTCCACTCCACACCCTCCCTTTTTTGGCAGGAATTTTACATTCAGACTGGTCACCCTAGTAGTGGGTTTGGGAGACTGAAGGGATGTTGGGGGACTTAGCCCCTTCATGTTAGGTGAAAGGCGTCTGAGGAATAGGGGCTAGCTGTCCTAGGGCCTCTGGAACACCCTGCTGTGCCTGACCTATTCTGATGGGAAATCTGGCCTGTAGGACACAACTACTTAGTGGAACAAGAGGAATGATGGGAGTAGCGGGATATCCCTTTTCACATTTAATGGGAGTTGGAACCCACAGGCTTCCCAACTTATTGATCTCTCAGAACAGGAAACTCGCCCCAATGTCCGCACCCTTCTGGTACCCCTGAGGTGTGCCAACTCTTTCCCTTGCCCCGATTTGGGAGGAGTTCATGCAGTTAGGTTGTGCAGTGTTGTCAGAGACCTAGTGGGGGACATAGGCCCTTCAGGTTAGGTGAGAGGTGTCCCAGGAACAGGGCTAGCTGTCCTGGGACCCTGGAACCCCCTGCTGTGTCCCACCCTTTTTGGTGGGAAATCCAGCAGGTAGGCTGCAACTACTTGGTGGACCAAAGGGAATGATAGGAGCAGTGGGATATTTCCCTTCAGATCTGATGGGAGCTGGGGCCCATCCTGGTCTCTCTGACTTTGTATGACAAGAACATATGCCAAGGAGTCTCAGGCTTCTTGCACCCCTGCCTGTGCCTCACCCTTTTTTGGTAGGAGTTCAGGTGGGTACCTGGTTGGGGCCTTGGAGATTTAGTGGGGTTGGGAGCCCGAGTGATGGGTGGGGAACATAGCCCCTTTAGGTTTGCTGGAAGTTAGGGCCCCTTGGCTTCCTGCCTCTCCTACCAGGTCAGCCTAGGATCTGCTACTTGGTGGGGCTGCAGGTCTGAGGGAAGAAGGGGGACAGCACCCCTTTGGTTTTGGCAGGTCAGGCTTCTCCCCAGAGGTCTCAAAGAGAGGTGGAGGCTCATGTGGGAAGCTGGCAGCCCCAACTTCCGCCTTATTTCACAGGTGCAAAGTCTAAGATGGAGGACTGAGGCCAGCTGGCATCTGCTCCCAACAAACCCTGGTTCTGAGAGTTGCCCCAACTCTCACCAAGCCTCAGGGAGTGCCAGGTCTGCCAGGAGCGAGGCTGACTGGCCCCAACTCCTGCCAACTTTTGGGAGCACTAGGGCTCGAGGCCTGAGAACATTGAGGCCCGAGAGGAGGTGAGGCCATCTGGGACCCTGTGAGGAGAGATGGGCCAGGCCTGGGAAGAGGCACGAGGCCTGAGGTCAAGAGACCTGCTGGGACCCGCGAGGGGAGAGGCCCGAGGCCGGCAGCCCCTGCTGCCCGGCTGCTCTCCCTGCCTCAAGCCCCTCACACTCTCACACTGAAATACTCACACATGTCGCCCCTCCTTCCCAGCCTTGCACGTGGAGAGGATCAGATCCCTGCACAGCCCTGCCCAGAAAAGGCAGCAGACGGAGAAGCCCAGCGCAGAGCGGGCTGGGGCTGGGGGTGGGGGTGGGGGGCGGTGGCTACAGAGGCCGAAGCGGAGGGGGGAGGAGAGAGAGAGGGAGAGCCGGCCAGAGAGCTCACGAGAGCCAGCCTGCCCAGCCGGCAAGTAAGTGCGCAGAGCGCATGCGCCAGGATAGCACTGCGGAGGGCGAGGGGAGGGAGGGGAGCGGAGCGTGCTCGGGCAGCGACAGCTGCATCTGCATCCCGGGTCCCCTCCCCGTCGCCGCCTCCTCCTCCTCCTCCTCCTCCGCGTCCCAGTCCATCTCCGGCCAGGCACCGTGAGCCCCAGATCGGGCGGCAGCCGCAGCCTCTCCTGCACCAGTCTGCGCTAAGAGGTCACGTTGCGGCACCCGGGTCTCCACAGAGGTAAAGGGGAGGGGGCAGGGGACACCGGCCCGGGTTATCGCAGCTCCCTCCCTGGGACTGGCCGGGGGTGGGGTTGGGAAGATCAGACCTTCGGCACCTCCTCCTCTTCCTCTAGTCAAAGCCTGGGGAGGAAGGAATTAGGTTGAGGGTCCCTGATCCGTGTGTGCAGTGTCCCCCCACCCACCCCGGTCAAACGGACAATGCAGTCTTTATAGAAACTTGGGGTTCCATGTCCTCCTTGTAGCCGGGCCTTTTCGGTAAGGGGAGAAGATTGGCTCGTCGCTAGACTCCCTTTCCCCTTTTAAGGATGGACACACTCTGCTTTCTGTTTTCCCCTCTTTCCAGAGAGGATGGATGGGAGGATGGGAGCCCTTCCTTACAAGGGGCTGAGGTATTCTTCCTCAGGCCACCCCCGTGGGGCAAATCCTTGGGGAAGCAAGGTGAGATGAGGAGAGGCATGTTTCTTAGTGGCATGTATCCACCCAGATTCCTGGCCCCAGTTTCAGAGTGGCCCTTTCCTCGGTGGTCTTCATATTTTGTACTCCTTCTCCCTACCTCTCACTCAGCACTCCAGGATGGAGGACCCAGAAGGGCTTTCCTTGGAAATCAGGACTAACTGTGAGTCAGGAGTGGACCCCAGTTTTGACTGGTACCACCCTGGTATTTGAGCAGGAGGGGGAAAGAAATGTGTGCTGCACTCAGGGCTCTCCTGACTGACCATCCAGGGCCTAGGAGGTGGGGTATGGCTGCAGGATGAAAAGAGCAGCCCTAGTGCCCCTAGGGAATGCTAGGGCACTAAGCATCCTGATTTTGGTGGGGGGGGAAGATTTGAGATCCAGTCTGGGCCTGAGAGTGCTCCCACTCTCAGGGAAGGCTGAGAATCTAGTCTCTTGGGGAACAAAAAGGCCTAGCAGAGGCACTCCCATAAGGGTTGCTGCAGTTAGTTGTGAGGGGAGGAGGGCAGGGCAGAGTGCTGCTGGGCAGCACACCTCTGGAGAGCCCCTGGGTGCTGCCATCAGTCACTTGGCCCATTCCTCTGCTGTCTTTTGCTGCAGTGCAATGAAGTGCTGTGGTTGGGCATCTGGCCAACTTGCTGCTGACCCTGGCCAAAGGACCGTGACCACAGATACCCAGGCAGTTTCCTTGGAGGTGACTAGGTCTTTAAAAGCTCACTGTATTTTGCTGGAAAACTGGGCTCGAGTGGATGGGCAATAGATGGTGTGGAGCCTAGGTGTGAGGGAATGGGTTGGGGGGAGAGGAAGAGAGGTTCAGTAGCCCCTGGTGCAGATGCATTGCATCGTTTGTAGGTTTCTGGGTTCATCCTCTCTTCTTCTGTTGCCCCACCCTGGCCTCCTCTTGCACCATTTAGTGTGATGTCTAATTGTTTTTTCCTTGGTTTTATGTGGAGTGCAAAGAGCAGTGGGCTAGGGAGCAGGAGACCTGGGTGCTGGGACCAGCTCTTCCACTAACTGGCTTTGTGACCTTGGGCAAGTCACTTGCTGTTCTGGGCATCGATTTCTCCCTGTAAAAGGACTAGATGGTTTCTGGGGGATCTTATAGCCCTAAGATTCCACAAGTGTATGTTTGTTTTGTCTGCACTACTAGATTGTAAGCTCTTGAAGGAGAGAAGGCAGGCTTGGGATCTGATTGTTCTTTGTCTTCCCCACTGTGCCTGCACACAGTAGGCTTTCAATGCCTACTTGTTGATGGATTGGGAGCCTGAGAGCTGGGCTTTCCTGCTCAGCTGTGAAGGGTTTCAAATGGCTTCAGAGCAGTAGGGGAGTTGGGCCTCATTGCTTCTCTGCACTGGGCCAAACTGGCCAGATTTCCAAACAACATTTATATGCCATGGGTCAGCTTTTTTTCCCTTCCTTTTTATTGTGCTTACGATGAGGAGCTGTCACAAGATGGAAAGTATCCCCTAGGCCAGAAGGCAACAGTAATACAGGGGCTTAGGGAACATGGAGCTGCATAGGCAAGTGTAGGCTGGCAGGATGGATTTTGGTCTCCTTCTTGCCCCCATGGCTGGCGGTTATTTCCCATCCCCTGCCAGGGACCCACACTCACGCTGGACGGAGGATACCTGAGTTGTCTTTATTGACTTATGGTGCAGCTAGAAAGGAGAAGGAAGAAGGGAAGCCATTCACCCTGCCTACTCAAGGTGTGTGTTTGGGGGGCAGTGCAGATGAGGCAGAGCTGGATTTATGGGCATAATCTCCATCCTCCAGGCTGTGGGTATCATGGTGCTGAGCTTCTGACAGTCAAGGGGAAAGATGAATGTGTGCCCTTTAATGCCCTGTGATCAGTAGTTCTGTCAAGAGGTGGTACATCAAGGGGGGGCGAGATAGAAGGGGGCCAGATTAGGGGAAGGGGGTATACAGAATGTATGCCATCTTGGGGTGAGGGGAGGGATGAGATGGGGAGAAATTTGGAACTCAAAATCTTGTGGAAGTGAATGTTGAAAACTAAAAATAGATTTAAAAAATTTTTAAATAAATAAAATACAAAAAAAGAAGAGGTGGTACATCAACTGATTAGCTATTGAGCAAGTCATTTCCCCTTGCCATATCTTAGTTTCCCCATCTGTAAAATGGGAGGGGGAGTAGATAAGACAATCTATGAGATGTCCCCTCAGGCTCTGTTTATAAATGCATTTCGTGCTGGACCCTGGAGTCTCCCTGACTCCTCAGTTCTGTGGCCTTTCCCATCTTGGGAGCTTTTGGAGCCAAGCCATGTTCCCCATGATACCCCCTCCTTACCGGGGGATCCTGGATAGGCGGATTTAGTCTCATAGATCCTAAATTGAGTCAGACAGAATTCTCCAAGTCATACAGATTCCCTCATCCTCACCCCACCTCCCCTTGGCTTAAAACACCCTGAGAATTGTGTCAACTCTTGGCTTCCCTCTGACTCTGCGGCCCTGGACTGAATTGTCGTTTGCTGTAATTACTTAAGGATTTGCCCCTAAGAAACCAATCAGTCTGTCTATACCACAAGATCATAGTATTATCTAGCTCGAGATGGAAGGGGCTTTAGCGATGCCGTCTGGTGCATCAACCTCATTTTACAGATGCAGAAACTGAGCCCCAGAGAGGGGAAGTGACATGTCCTTGGTCACCCAGGTAGTAATTGAGTACAGATCTTCAGGTCTTTTCTGCTGTATCGTAGGAAGTTCTCAGCAAGAAACCCCAGACCAGATGTATAGGGATGAGCTCATAATAGCCCATTGAACATGGCTTACTTGACAGGACCATAGGATTTAGAGCTGGAAAGGACCTCAGAGATCAGGTCTGAGCCCCTCAATTTCCAGAGGAAGAAACCAAAGATCAGAAAGGTGAGACTTAGCCGAGGTTAAGGTAGTTAGTGGCAGAGCTTGGATGGAACCTGTGTCCTCTGCCTCTGTATATTGTGGGTCTCCTCCTTTGGCCCAAGTATTGGATGCCTGATGTTCTGTAGCATTTGAAAGCGATATTATACTCAAATAATTCCAGAGAAAAAGCCTCTCTGTGTCCCTCTGAGGTCTTTCTAAGCCCTTTAGATGGCTCTGTCTCCGGGGGTAGTAAGTGCCCCCTCACTTGGAGGCAGAGGCCACTTGCTGGGCATGAGAGGAAGCAAAATCTGGAGGCCCGTTATTATATATTATATATTATTATTGTTATTATTATTATTATTATTATTATTATTATTATTATTATATGGAGGGGAAAGCAACTGAAAGGGTTCCTGAGGGCAGTGATTGCTGAGAGAAGCCATCTTAATAAACATCGCTGAAGAGGAAACGTTCTTTCTTGGAATGAGTAAAGAGCTCCAACCCTCTAGGCCCTGGGCAACAACATTCTCCCTTGGGTTTGAGGAGTAGCTGTGCTCGTTTGTGGCAGTTTCATCGTTGAAGGAATGTTGAATTTCTGTGGTAATTTATTGGGAAATTCCAAAACTATGAGTTCGATGACAGGCGTTAGTAGCAATTCTGAAATGAATTTGTATCATTTGTCCCTTTTACATATGCATTTCTGGTTAACAACTTTCCTCATACAAAAGGCAAGCTCTCTGTGCCCAGGGCATAAAATGGAGGCTTAGTAGAGGGAGTCTGAATTGGTGCTTTCATGAGGTTTGGTGCTGAAGCCTGGCTTCTGCATGTCCGTGTCCTGGAAAGAACACTGGCATTGGAGGCCGAAGACCTGGCTTCGAGTTCAAGCTTTGTCACTTAACGAGGTGTGTGACCCTGGGTAGCCCTCAGTTTCCTCCTTTTGAAAAGGACTAGATGAGATGATCACTAAGGCCCCTTCCGGCTTGAATGTGCTACATTATGAATGTTTTTTATTGGGGATGGAACACGATAAAGAGAAATACACTTGTCTTTGGATGGAGAACTCACAACTCTGTGTGTGTGTGTGTGTGTACCTTGTTTAACATTTTAAGAAATTCTTTTGGGGGTGGAGGGGAGTCAAATCATGCAGTCTCCAAGTCTGCAGATTATGCTAGCTTCTTCTGGGTGGGAACATGCCCATGGAAATAAGCCATGAGAATAAAGGAGCCCATATGAGTGGGCAGAAAGGCAGCAGATGAGCTGCAGTGTGGGCAGGGGTGGCAAGCTAATGCATTTAAGGAAGAGCTAGCCAAGCTGTGCTTACAGAACCGCGAGCTCTGAGCTAATTATGATATGAGAAAGGGATCTGGCCATCACTGTGGACTGTTCCCTACACCCTAGCCCCCTGGCTTCTGTAGCCACACAGCTCTGAGCCTCACTAAAGACAGAATGAGAAAAAGGATAAGGCCCAGGAAACAACATGGCTGACTAGTTCTGGGCCAGATGATCCCGGTGACCATATTTTTTAACCAGAATTAGGACATGTGATCTGAGAAGGGAAATTACTTTAGAGTCCAGATCGACCTCATTTTGAATCCTGCTCTCATACTAACTTTTGGACTTTGGGCATGTCACCTTAACCTCTTTGTCTCCTGGGGATAACAATTCTCAGATTCTTTATCTCCCCAGAGTT